TTGAGGATAGAGTTCTGATTCGAGTGATAGGGAATGTCACAGGAGTTGACATGGCAGTGTAATTCCAACACTCCTCGTGGCTGGTGAGACGATTCATTTGTTTAATTTAAGAAGTCAGGATCAACAGTTTTGATGAGGTTCTTGAGAGGTTCGATTGAAGTGGGTTTTGTGAGTGCATCAGCTAACATGTCTTGAGTCTTGATGAGAGTAATCTTGATGTTCTTGTTTTTGATCTCCTGACGAAGACCTTTGGTTCGAAGATCGATGTGTCGAGTTTTTGAGTTGGAGCCGAATTTCTTCAACTTGTCGTTCAGGCCTTTGTTGTCTATGAAGTGATTGGTACAAAACTGTTCTTTGAACACTTTATCGTCAGAGGTGAGCTGGAAGTTGAGTTCTTCGTCATCAATGAAATGATCGGCAGAAGCAATTTGAGTGTCCCACATTTCACTGATGAGAGCCTTGAGCCACACGCCTTCATGAAAGGATTCAACTAGTGGGTTGAGTTCTGCTTCAGTCGATGAGTAGGTGATACTACGTTGCCGACAGCTGTTCCAAGAAATCAGGGAGCCGAAGAGGTAACAAAGATATCCGCTTTGAGAAGTTCTTGAGTCTGGATCGTCGCCCCAGGTGGCATCACTGTAGATGGTCAAGAATTGGGAAGGATTGATTGCATTGATAGTGAGTTTCAAGTCTTTGGTGTGTCGAAGATATTGCCACGTTTTCTTCACTTCTTTCCAGTGAAGTACACCGGGCTTTACAGAGTATCTAGCAAGACTGGATACGGCAAAACTCAGGTCGGGTCTGGTGTTAGAGGCTATGTAATTCAGAAGTCCAATAGCCGAACGGTAGTTGATGTTTAATTTCTTGAATTTTTCATGATCTTCGTCGGACGCTTCTCTGAGTTGCAAGTTGGGAGTGAGAGGTGTCGAGCTTGGTTTACACTCGGTGAGACCTAGTTCCTCGAGACCGTGATTGATGTGTTTAGGTTGAGAAAGACAAATCTTGTTGCCAAATCTTTCGAATTTCATTCCCAGCAAGGTATTTGGAGGGTGACAAGCAGAGTTGCTGAACCTTTGCGAGAATTTGTTCTTGAAGTCATTGCCGGGTCCAACTAGAACAAGGTCATCGACATGGAAGAAGATAAAAGAGATTCCATCGGTGCAAGCGTACATACAAGGATCACAGGTCGATTCTTTGAAGCCTACAGATTCGAGCCAACCGGTGAGTGTTTCGTACCAGTTCTTTGGGGCTTGTTTGA